CATTAATCTTACTAATATCATAAATACGAATGTTTGTATGGATGTTTGTTGTTGGTGTGTTTAGATGTGTATCTCTCGTGGGCATAGGCGTGCTTTCGCTCTGAAGCGGTTCCATAAGTTTTAAATGCATGGTACTGACGCGCGACAATCACGTGACTTATCTAAAGTTATCGTCAGTTCCATACGTTTTAGAAATTCGTCATGGAATCGCTTCGAAACGAATGCACTTTGTCTAACCGCTGCATGGATCATGCTGAAATTTGGGATAGATGTATCATATAGCCTGGAAGAACGCATAGACTATTTACTATATTTTTTAATGCCAGGACAGAGTCGCGTGCGACAACTAGTATTAATTTATATTGTAGATTTTAATGTGAATGTTCATTTAACATACGAGTATTTGTCATGTATTTTCGTTGTAAGAAAGTAAATATTTCACACGTCTCCTTTCTAAATTAAAATGTCAACTTGTTTTGCGTCGCGGCGTTTGCGGTTCTTGCTACGTGAGCTCTAGTGCATGCTATGATAAACGGATCGTAAAATATACGTCTTCTTTATTGTATGGGTTCCTTGCATTTTTTTAATATACCAGTTTTCTTGTAAGTTAGAGATTTGCTTCCATAAAAATGTATGGGTGTTAAATACAAAATATATAACTGAACTTCACTATTTACTAACAGAGGTTGTTAGTTCGTCTATTATGGCCACTTTTGTAAAATAACAAGCTGTCGCCCGCGATTCCGTCTGCGCAGAATTAAAATAAAACTTAATAAGTAGCCTATGTGTTCTACACTATGTTCTATGTGTGCCAAATTTCAACAAAATCCGTTGAGCCGTTCAGCAGGTACCTTTAAACAAATCCATCCCATCTAAACTTTCGAATTTATAATATAATATTAGTAAGAAATACTTTCTTACATTTTGAATTGATCTGGAACATCTAAAACATAATTACTTTGTGTTATTTAATTTCTAACAAATAAATTGGCAATTAAAATTTGCCTTGAATGTCGTCTGTCCGTCTGTAAGTCTTGCGGAGCCCTAGCCGGTGGCGAAGGCCGGGCCCTTGAGCACGCGCGCGGCACCGCCTCTCATTATCCCGCCGGGCTCGAATCCGCAACCCGCGTCGCTGTCTTCGTGCACTCCACTCAACTCTGCCGACACCATTATTTCCTCCTTTTACCCTAAAATACGTCAGCCACTCGTAATTATCTACAATTAAAATGTTTTGTTCTTGATGCAGAAATTAAAAATAAAATGTCTGCTACAAAGATTTTATAACATCTTTTATATCTATGGTTGCTAAATATGTAGTAACTAGTGGTCGCGCGCGACTCCGTCCACGCAGAATTAAAAAAATACTTGTTTAGTAGCCTATGTATTCTTCCAGACTTTGTTGTACATATATGCCACATTTCAGCGAGATCCATGTAGTAACAAACAGTTTAACAGTGGTAGAGCCCGCTTTAACATCTTCGCAGGAATTGTCCCGGCTCGCCCGGTGAAATACCACGACCACACAGAAGACAGGCGTCAAGTGGAAGCAATTCCGCGTACAGTCTGATGAGTGTGCGTCCCGGAGGCCTAATATAGTCCTCTTTCCCTTCCCATCCTTTTTCTTATAAGGAAAGGATGGGAAGTGGTAGTGGACTTTCCGGATGAGAGGATGCATGGGAAGGGAAAATATTTTCTTTCTATGCATGCTCTCCTCTGTCGATTAAAGGTAGGCAACGCATATGCAATTGCATATGTCTATGGGCAACGGTCACTTCGCTATTTCAGCGATTTCAGGTGGACGCTCGCTCGTTTGCCACCTTATGATATAAAAAAAAAACATCCATCCATTCGCATTTATAATATTACAAAATAATATTCTACAAAAATTATTACCTCTGTGAGCGACTGTTATATTACTATTCACCATGCTGCCTGCGCAATTACTATGACAAATCACATGAAAGCTTTAAAATATTAGTAAACTGGGCAGAAATTCCACCATTTAAAAGAAATCCCAAAAACATTTGATGTCAATTATAATTTGGGCGTCTGGCAATGGCTCGGTTGTATAATTTTGGCGCGCGTCGCCATTGCTCTTATTTTGGCGCGCTTTTGACGCGCTGAATGTGTCGCGCCGGCGTCCATTAGTTGCCTATTATGTCTGACTTGCGCGGCAACTCACGTTTTTTTTTCTTTTAACTTTCACATAGGTGTAAAAGGTTCAGCTTTGTAGGGTTAAAGTCGTGGTAAATTAGAATTCTACTGATTCTGGAAAGTATTGGAGTACTGGAAATTGTATGAGGTTTCTATCGGGTGTCGCTTTTTGATGTTATATATCTGTGAATTCAATGATGTGGCAAGTTACAACTCAAAGGATTCTATTGATTGAAAGGCGAGTTTTTCGAGTAGCGTTGGTTCGTTTTACCATGTTTATACATTATGATGCGTTTGATGTCAAGTTTACTAACAGATTACAAACTCGAGCTATAAAAAATTCTATAACGCAATACTTCTTTTCTGACTTAATTCATTAACTTCAAACCATATTACGTTTTTAAGAGACATTTTAATACTTTGAAATTAAATATTTCGGTCTAAGTATAATATATTCATAAATAACAATAAAATCTTACTTCTTACTTAATATTATAAATGCGAATGTTTGGATGGATGGATGTTAGTTTAAAGGTATCTCCAGAATTTCTGCACGGACCTTGCTGAAATTTGGCATACATATTCTGAAAGAACACATAGACTACTAATTAAGTTTTTTAGTACCGCGCGGACAGAGTCGCGGGCGATAGCTAGTAGTATATAACTGGGGAACAAAAATGTGACGAGGTGATTTACAAAAGCCGTGTTGAGTATTTGCGAGGCCGGGTGCCGCACACAATGGCCGCTAATGCCGGACTCCTCGCCTGCAATTACAGACCTCTGTCATACGTCTACTAATAGACCTCTTAAAAACCTCCAAAGTAGTTGCAGTATTGTGACCTACTGTGTCCTATGGTGTCATAATGGTGTCATATTTTCTATTTGGTAAAAAAAAAATAAGGAAAGGCTTAATGTTAATTGAGCATCGTGAAATTTTTATTGGTCATTAGCTGGCGCCCGCGACTCCGTCCTTGGGAAATTAAAAAACTTAATAAGTAGCTTAGTAGTGGTTTAGGGTTTCCTGGCAATTATTCGAAATTTTCTCACCTTTTATACCTTCCCTAAACCTTTATGAACATTCCAAGACCAAGATAAGATAAATCCGTTCAGTTCTCGTTTTAGCGAGACTAACGAACAGCTTTTAATTTTATATATATATAGGATGTTATGAACTTTAATATAATTGTTGCTTATACAAAAAACTTTATAATTATAATTATTTTTCCAATAAACTAAATTAATATTACGGGCGATTAGCAACTTTTTATGTCTCTTGAATTTGTTCCAAAAAAATTTCGTAGTTTGCCTTTATTTTATTAGGACATTTTAAACTCGTCTATATGTCAAATTTCTCAGTCACTTTTAACGCTATGTTAATTTAAGTTAAGAATTACCAGCGTTAACCTGTGTACGAACAATCCCACCCTTGCTAAGCCCCGTCAAGAGGGCGGAGTGAAAATCTTTATTTGCCGTAGCGCTAAGGGCACGAATCTCCTGCCTACTGTCGCTTGCGTGCTATCCCTTTACTTGGCCAACTTTGATGTGTGCCAACCTCACTCAACCGATGCATTCAAACTTAATACTAAGCCCTTTGATACGTTGATACGAATACTGGATATGACAGATTTTGAAATAATGATTGGACCGCTACTACTTTGGCTAAATTTATTTTACTAAGAATATTTTAAGTTTTGTCATTATATATTATATAATAATTTCATATTTTCACAATAGTCAATTAAATATAGTGATTTTTACGTGTTTTTTTCTTGTCCCCTTGGACTTTATATTCGTTAGTTTTTTTCCTCGTGACATTTCTAGAACAATTGACAATCAGAGTAGGTGCCACTTCCAAGTGTTCAACATCTTTGGCCGAGCGTCATAGAGCGCACGATTAAATACTCGTGCGCCACTTCCAGTGCTAGTCCATTAGGCTTGTCACACACTGAATGCATATTAATCTTTCACTAATTTCATAAACATTATTTGGTATGGTATCTTAGTATTTTCATAACTTTATCTTATTTCTTAATGAAATTAGGGAAGATGCTTTTTTTCTAGCAGTTTCCATAATATATTTTCTTTAAAACTTAATAAGAATCATAGTAATTTTACTTTTTTTAATGGCGTTGTTTATAGTCAATTGTAATGTTTGCTTTATTGGAATTTATGGTTAGTTTGCTTAAAAACTTGTTTAATTTTTTTTAAGTTGATCTCAGTGTACCACCGACCTATTCTATAATTGTCGTAATATAGGAAACGCGTAAAATGTTGCACTGCAGATAGCAATAGTAGAGAAAAGGCCTCCGACTGCATTCATACAACTCCATACAATGTGGGATTTAGGTTGGTTGGATGCTTTGCTTTGTACTCTTTATACAACTAGAGTTCAGACTAAAAATTTTACGTGTTAAATAACTAATATCGTTTTTTTAACTTCGAAGTAGCTGACCGTTATTAACTAGAAATAAACAGTTTTTATTATAACTGGCTGTCGCCCACGACTCCGTCCCAGTTTGAGGAAAAACCTATTAATTAGCTTATGTGTTCTTCCAGACTATGTTCTATATCTATATCTAATTTTATTAAGATCCGTTGAGTCGTTTCGAAGATACCTTCTACCATCCATCTGAACTTTCGCATTTATAATATTAGTAAGATTGTTATAAATATCACCGCTAGTGAATGCTGTACGTTTCTATTTTGTCTAGAGAAATTGTAAAAAGTCGACAAAATGAATTCCGACTTTTTACAATTTATCTAGGAAAACAAACTACCGTTTTAACATCGATTGTCATATTTCAAGAAATTCCAAAACGTCAAGTAACATGATGTTTAAATTACAGAACGATCTCATTCCTTCGGGCCACAGCGCAGTGGGTACACGCCAAACTACCAAGGTCAAAACCGTGGCTATCAACACGGACAGGGTTACAGACAACAGAATTACCAGGGTAACAATTACCAAGGCAACAGTTACCAGGGCAACAGTCACCATGGTAACCAAGGTAGTCAGGGTTACTCTAGTAACCAGGGTTACAGCTCGCAGGGTTATCAATCAAATGGAAGAGGTTATAGTCAAGGACAGGGTGGACAGAAGTATTCCAGAGGGCCGAACTCTGAGCGTCGGCCTACAGGACACAATAGCCGGCAAGGACAAGGATCAACATGGCGTTGAAATACGAAGTAACTAATCAACTTAATGTAAATAAAGGGACAAATCATTTTTCATACAAATAAAGAAACATAGATGTAGGTTTTTAAATACCATTTTGGTATTCACAAATTTTGTTTCAACATTTACTGCTTGTTTGCACTTAGCCGCGCGTCTGTCGTTTAACAGTCGCAGTGGAAATGGAATTTATTATTTCAAATAACGTCCGCGCGTGAACAAACAGTTTTTGTATAAGTTTGTATATATGAATATGTATTTGTTTCTAAATGAAAAGATTAGAATTATTTGGTGAATTAGATTAAGTTTTTAATTCATTTAATTTCACGTTTTTTTTTATATTTTTTTAGCAATATTTTACTTACAACTTTCACACAAACCTAAATTAAACATCCAAGGCAGTTGAAAATATGTTTTAAATGAATCGCCTTACTCGGTCTTCAATGGCCACTAAGGGAGACCCTTAGTGTAGTACAAACCTACACTAAGAAGCCATTTAAGTACCTTTAACGACTAAAAACGATAGTATATCAGTAATGTAGGATTGAAATTTACGAAATTAAATTTTTTAAACAGATTTTATTATTTTAAATGTATTTCTTCAATTAACCGTGGGTTTCTGAGAACAAAATTCCGGTGTAAAACTTATTGTTATCTCTGTTTCTTCAAAGATAATGACAGGGATGACGATATGTTTTATACAGAGATTTTGGTCTCAACTTCATGGTAAATAATTAATTTGACTAATGTATTGAACTGCTGATTAAATATATTTGACGAATAATATGAATTATTAATACCCCAAAATAAAATTATAGCGTGAAGATACGTTTTAAAATGAGTTTGCACTGCCGGAACATGCGTACGAAAACATGTCTTTATTAAGAGACAAGTTTTGAATACTTTTTTGTATGTTTTAAAAGAGCAAGTAAGTTTTTAATGCAACACTGTTTGAAAAATTCTACTTTTGTAGATTATAAAATATATATTTGATTTTATAGAATATAATGAATTAAAATTAAATTAATAATAAATGATTATAATAAAATTACCGTTTTTTTTATTTACTACGAATTATTTACATTTTCTATTTTATATTTCAAAACAAATCTTATAAAAAGAGTCTTTTTGGCCTTTTAAATTGTTGAAAATAAAGCCAAATAAAGATTTTTCGATGGGGCCGCAAAGTCCTAGAGTGGCGGCCACGGACAGGTCGACGCAGCGTGGGCAAGGCCTCCCGCAAGATGGACCGATGACCTGGTGTAGGTTGCGGGACCGGTCATCGTGGCGATCTTTAGGGGAGGCCTATGCCCAGCAGTGGGCGTCTCATGGCTGAGAAAAAGAAGAAAGATTTTCTTATACAGTGACAGATTGAGATTGGAATTTCAGTGGATAAATCTTAAAATATAGATCCTAGGTATCAAAGTAATTTTCTGATAGTAAATAGATGAAGGAATGACGCCTCGTGAAGCGGGTCACTGTTACCTGATGACCACGACCAGTTTGAAAAGACTGCAACGATAAAGAATAATAATTCTTCCGCTATATAACAGAAACTAGGATATAAAAAGACACCCATCATCACATATGATTAAAACCAGTAGCTGCATTACGTAATATTGCAATTAAGTTTTTGCCGGTAACGCAACAGTAAAAACAGCGTACTTCCGAACTCGGGCTGTTAACGGTCCATTAAAATTACTTACCTGGACAAAAAAACTTTAAAACTCAGTTAAGTTCAACTCATTCATGGCTCGAGTGGCCTCCAGCGGTCCGCAGGGCCCCTAATTTCCTTTCATCTCTACAAATTCTGTTCGAACCTTCGATTGTGGTGCAAAAAAAGGAAATTAAAAAACTATTGATCGAACAAACGCCACTTCAGACGCCATTGTCCGCCATCTTGGAAATCGTTTTTGACAGGTAAAGCTAACATGCGTCAAAATAAATGTTCTAAGAGGCAATTTAAAAAACGGACCCTTTATCTTATTGTGTTTTATTATTTTTTTACGGCATGTTACTTGAAATAATGTCATAGGTTAATTTTCCTGGAAAAAACAAGACCGCATTACTGGCGTTTCCAGCGTTAAAGAGCAGTTTGTACTGATGGTGATAAGAATTTTCATTTACATCAATGAACAATTGTGTTAATTGACATCTACCCATAAACATCTGTAACTACGCTGTCTATTCGGTAAACGACAGAACTTAAAAAAACTATGGGATGAAAAAGGGGACTTGTCTTTGGCCAACTATGTACCCAGGTACTTTATATACAGGGAAATAATTAACGACATTTAAATGAACCCAAATTATCGACCGTACGTTTCTTAGTCTAGATTTTGTTTTTTTTATTAGGTTGTTGGTATTTCAAAACATTCATATAATTATGTCTAATTGAAGCATATTGAAGATGATAAAGATGTTTTATTAAGAGCAATATAGCATCTGAACAGACTAACCTATACGATATAACAGTAAAAACAACATGGCGATAAACTAAATTATGAAATAATTTGTGTTTTTTATATTAGGCATTATTCATAACTTATTTTACCAAATTCATCATCGTCATCGACTTTACAAAATTCATGTGGTCAAAATAAATCTTCAAAATTTCTTTTATTAGCATAGATTTGTTAAGAAGCAAAAAATTTGCATATGATATCACCTAAACTTCAAACTTTCTTTTTTAAAAATTATTCTACCAAATATTAATTAATTATTGTTTGGATCTATTGTCCTGCCCGTATGCGTCGCGTCACCTGGGCCGCCACAGTTTCCCGCGCATTCTCACGTCACCCGCGCGGCTGACTGACTCGAGACGTCAAATGTCGCGAACCCGCGACGTGTTCACTTCCCATAAACTCAAGATCTAGAATGTTCATTTCACCGTGTCCTAATATGTCAAAGGTTTGTCTTTGTGATCCGCGCCGGAGCCCTAATGAGCCGGCAGGGGCGCGGCCGCCATGCTGCGCTCGCGTGACGCCGAATGGAGCCCCGCGGAGGCGCGCCGCTTGGCGTCTCCGCTGAGATTCAAATTCGCTTTGACATATGCATTTGACTTCTTTAGTGGTCTTGAGTGTCCGCTGACGTTTGACTGGGCTCATCTAAGTGTGAATGAGCAATTTCCGATACGGTGGGAAAAGTTTGCGAGTGAGAAATGACTTGTTACCTGTTCATTTATTGCGTCTACAATTTTATTTGACACTTATATCAAAAAATCTGGTGCGTTTTATAATACAACAATGATGTATCGAAAAGTTAACTTTTATATATCCAAGAATACTAGATGTCACGCGCGACCACGTCATCGGTTTATTAATTTAAAACTTAATTAGTAGCCCATGGGTTCTGCAAGGCTATGCCAAATTTTATCGAGATCCATGCAGATATTCTGAAGATACCTTCTAACAAAAAACCACCCATACAGCAAAACATTTGCATTCATAATATTAGTAAGAAGATAGCAATACAGTTATGAAATAGACTTTAATGTCACAAGAACATGGATTTTTTTTTAAATATTTTATTTTATATCATAGATTTAAGACTATATGTAATTATAGAAATAAAGATAAAATATATTTTTATTTAATAATAGTATTCGTTTGTTATTTTATCATCGTATATAAGCCATTGTTACATGGAAATAATATAAAATTCGTAGTTACGACGTAACTTTTAACGTAGAGGTCAGTTGTCTATTAAGCCCATCTCCATGCCCGGCCTGTGCGACGGTCGCCGCTGGCGCGCTGCCAGCGACACCGTCCTCCTTGTTAATGGTTAACATAGACAACAGTTCGCCTTTTCACAATGAATTTCTAATGTAAGAGGTTTGTCATTTTCTTTGTTGGACACACGTTCTTCGTCTATTTTTATTATTTTAGTAGCATTTTGGTCATCGATAGAGATTTTTTATGTTATATAGCTGTCACCTGTGACACCGTTAGCGTGCAATAAAAAAAAACTTAATGAGAAGCCTATGTGTTCTTCCAGACTATGCCAAAATTTAGCCGTTCTGGAGATACTTTCAAACATCCATCCATCCATCCAATTAGTTCGCATTTATACTATTAGTAAGATTTAAATTTATTAATTGAGCCATTATCCGCTCCCGACGGCTTACCGTAGGTTTTTAAAATTAAAATTTCAGGATTTTTTCACGACTTTGATAAAACACAGATGACACTACATTTTAAACGGTGATTTTGGTTTCAGAAACTTACGGTTAGAGAGAAATCTCTATAAACGAGAAAAATATCGCTGTACCTTGGTCGTGGTAATAATATTCTGTTCTCATGAGATTATAATCTCTTGCGTCAATTTAGTTCTAAATGTATGCAAGGTTTTTTTATTACTATATTTTTGCAAAAGCTAATGTAATATTTGAATGAGGTCGAGCATTTAAAGTATTGTTGGCCTACTCGTGCCATTAATGGACCCAATTAAAAAGTTTTCGCTTTCTGTTGCAATGGCCGACTGCCCGACCGGCCCGTTGTCTGCAAATAATGACGTGGGTACTGGCCAGATGAAGTCCGGTGACAAGAGGGTGGTAAGTTTAGCACTGGTAAAGGCAAATTTAAAAATATTTGATCAAACGTTTTATTTTATTAAATCAATGTTAGTATCTGTATGTTTCTGATATTTTTTTTGAGGTTAGGTTAGGTTTGGAAACCTATTCAATTCCAGTTACATTAGTAGTAGTTGTCCTGTGCTGACAATAATAATTTTAAACCTAATTAAAGCATACTCCAAAGAATCTATAGATTTCATATTACAATATCGTCGCTTCCAAATTTTATTATGTGCTGTCTTTTATTTTGATTTAAATCTAAAAAAATATTTACTTTTCAAATGTTCGATAACTTTCCTTCTGCGTATAAAAAATACAAATTGAATAGTGCCATAGTTTCCGGGCGAATTTCGCATTCGGAACACGCACTCAGATAACCGTTGATTGGTCGGCGTTGCGTCGCTCTGATTGGCTTACAATTCGACAGTAATGGCGTTAACTCGCACGAGTCTCATGTCAAAACGCAATTGTACTCAATTTTAGCCATTTAAATAAGCACCGTATATCCTGTAGATAAAGTATAAATTGCTTTAGCAGGAAATTCACCTTGAGTCGTATACGGTTCATCTGTCATTCCCTCTGGACAGATGTTGCTACACTTTAGTAACAATTTCACCCACAGCTCGCTTAAAAAGCTATTGTGTAACTTTTTTTGTATTATTTTGCCTAATTCTTTTGTTGTGTGGTTGGTTAGATTTGATGTTGAGGGAGAGTTAATTCATTGGACGCGTTATTGTTTACCGCTACCGGTTTTTAATAGCTTTTATTTGTAGTTTTATTATTTTTTTCACTCAATAATGCATATTAAATGGCACGAGCCATTTTGCTTTAAAGTTATGATTCTAATTTTAAACTGGTGGACGATTCGTATGTTATATATATTTATTTCTAATCTTTAGACCTAAAATAAGTTATTAGTTATAATTATTTTATCAACGGTCGATCTGAATTAAATCTGTCCACTTCGTTTTAAACTAGTCGCTATAGACACAACAGTGATTTTTCCAACTAGAATGTTACTTTTTAAAACAATTTGGTAAATGTAAATAAAATTTAC